CATTTCTTGTATCGAATCTGATAGACACATGACCACAACTGGTTCAGTGCTTTACCCTAAGTATAATAATACGCATCATAATCGGAGGGATGAACAAAAGCTGGATATTAAATATACATATATTTTTTGTGAGGCCTAAAACTTAATAATAGTACAGTGTATGATACAGGTAGGGGAAAAAGACACAAAATGTAAATGCTCTAAACCATTTTATTGGAAATGTTTCAGCCTTGTGACTTTGGTCCCCCCAAATGTACACAGTAGAAATAAATAATGTATAAAGTTTATATAGTTGAGAGTGCCTGCATCCTGTGGTAGAGGTGAGGATCTTGCATGCAGTCTTGTCAAATTGTAAACATACCACATTTCTGGAGACTTTGTAAATGGTCCAGGTCACACTGAAACGTCATCGTAAGCTCCCTCTCCTATGTGCGGGTTATTTGTGTATTGTTTTTTATTTATTTCTGGAGGCTGTTTTCCCAAACGATCTGGAAAAGTGGGTGTGCAGTTGGGAGAGTCTACCTTGTGTATTTTTCAAGACAGTTTTCCCAAATGGTCTAGAAAAGTGTGTGCACCATTGTGAGAACATGGCATATTCATTTTTTGAGACCATTTTTTAAACAGTCTGGGAAAACAGTCTCCAGAAATTAATGCTGTTAGCATCAGCGCAATTAGTACATTAGGACAACTGCAGTTACTTTAGTGTAAGTTTGCTGCATCACTGGCTGAAACACACAATAACATGAAAAAGAAGCAATGCAATAGGCCTACTGGCCCATACTGGACAGGTCCACCTAAACACTTAAACATTCCTATTCATGATTGCTCTACACAACATTGCTAAATAGAAAGTGTGGTGCTTGCAGGAACTTGGGTTTCAGGCTGAATCCTGTGAAAATGACTTATAAAAAGGCTTTGCCAGAAGGAAATAAGATGTAGATATTTATAAAGAAAAAATAATACCCCCTCAAGGGAGGTTCCTTGATGCAGGTGAGGGGCTCTTGATCTAGGGAATTGGATCTGTGCTCCAGTTCACTGAATTGAGTCTGAATACCTTCCATCCCTCCCCATACACTGTATAATCCTATGGGTTTAGTGCTCCTTCATGATTATTATAATATAAAAAATAGCATGGCTAGCTGGAAAAGGCTATAAAATGGCTAGTGTTGTAGGGAATAGACAGTAAGTTATTAAATGCTGTAAAGAGTTTTTATGAGGATAGGCTCAGGTTAGGGTGTGCAGGAGAGAGGGAGATTAGTTTCCAGTAAAAGTAGTCCTTAGACAGGGATGTGTAATGTCACCATGGTTGTCTAATATATTTATAGATGGTCTTGTAAAAGAAGTACATTATATGCTAGGGTGTTGGGGAGAGGGGTGGGATGAAATTATGGGGAATCAAATACAAAATGAGAGTTGACACTGTTACTTTTTGCTGATGATACTGTGCTTTTGGGGGATTCTAAAGAAAAGTTGCAAAGGTTAGTGGACAAGTTTGGGAGGGTGTGTAAAGGAAGAAAGTTGAAAGTGAACATAGGTAAGAGTAAGCTGATGAGGGTATTAAAACATATTAGGTAATGAAAAATTGGATATCACATTGGAGGGCGGAGCATGGAATTAGTGAATGTTCAGATATCTGGGAGTTTTCCAGTCAGCAGATAGGTTCATGAAGGATGAGGTTAACCATAGAACTAATGAAGGAAAAAGAGTGGAGACAATGTTATCTACGGAGGCAAAGAGTAAATGTACGACAGTATAGTATACCAACACTCTTGTATGGGTGTTAAGCATAGGTTGTAAATGCTGCAGCAAGTGAGGCTGTATGACCCTTGTAGGTTTAGTCCATATCTTTAATTATAATAATATAATAATGGAGACAGTGGAGCTGTTGTGTCTAGGGGCAATGTGTGGTGTAAGTATACAGAGAATTTGTAGTGTGGAAATTAGGAGGAAGTGTGGAGATACCTAAAGTATTATTCAAAGGGATAAAGAGGGGTTGTTGAGGTGTTTTGGTCATTTAGAGAGGATGGTGCAAATTAGGATGACTTGGAGAGCACATAAATCCGTAGTGGAGGGAGGGCAGGGTAGGGGTCGGCTTAGGAGATGTTGCAGGGAGGAGGTAAAGGAGGTTTTGTGTGTGAGGGGCTTTGACTTCCAGCAAGCATGCATGAGCGTGTTAGAGAGAAGTGAATGGAGACAAATGATTTTCAGGATTGACAAGCTGTTGGAGTTGAGCAGGGTAATATTTTGCAAAAGCCTTCGACAAGTGTGACCATGGCGTAATAGCGCACAAAATGCGTGCTAAAGGAATAACAGGAAAAGTCGGTCGATGGATCTATAATTTCCTCACTAACAGAACACAGAGAGTAGTCGTCAACAGAGTAAAGTCCGAGGCAGCTACGGTGAAAAGCTCTGTTCCACAAGGCACAATACTCGCTCCCATCTTGTTCCTCATCCTCATATCCGACTGGGAGCGCTTGAGGTTTCTAAACCTGTATTCCCTGGAACGCAGGAGGGAGAGATACATGATTATATACACCTGGAAAATCCTAGAGGGACTAGTACCGAACTTGCACACGAAAATCACTCACTACGAAAGCAAAAGACTTGGCAGACGATGCACCATCCCCCCAATGAAAAGCAGGGGTGTCACTAGCACGTTAAGAGACCATACAATAAGTGTCAGGGGCCCGAGACTGTTCAACTGCCTCCCAGCACACATAAGGGGGATTACCAACAGACCCCTGGCAGTCTTCAAGCTGGCACTGGACAAGCACCTAAAGTCAGTTCCTGATCAGCCGGGCTGTGGCTCGTACGTTGGTTTGCGTGCAGCCAGCAGCAACAGCCTGGTTGATCAGGCGCTGATCCACCAGGAGGCCTGGTCACAGACCGGGCCGCGGGGGCGTTGACCCCCGAAACTCTCTCCAGGTAAACTCCAGGTAAACAGCACCGTGTCTTCCTTTGCAGATGACACCCGAATCTGCATGACAGTGTCTTCCATTGCAGACACTGCAAAGCTCCAGGCGGACATCAACCAAATCTTTCAGTGGGCTGCAGAAAACAATATGAAGTTCAACGATGAGAAATTTCAATTACTCAGATATGGTAAACACAAGGAAATTAAATCTTCATCAGAGTACAAAACAAACTCTGGCCACAAAATAGAGCGAAACACCAACGTCAAAGACCTGGGAGTGATCATGTCGGAGGATCTCACCTTCAAGGACCATAACATTGTATCAATCGCATCTGCTAGAAAAAATGACAGGATGGATAATGAGAACCTTCAAAACTAGGGAGGCCAAGCCCATGATGACACTCTTCAGGTCACTGTTCTATCTAGGCTGGAATATTGCCGCACACTAACAGCACCTTTCAAGGCAGGTGAAATTGCTGACCTAGAAAATGTACAGAGTACCTTCACGGCGCGCATAACGGAGATAAAACACCTCAATTACTGGGAGCGCTTGAGGTTTCTGAACCTGTATTCCTGGAACGCAGGCGGGAGAGATACACGATTATATACACCTGGAAAATCCTAGAGGGACTAGTACCGAACTTGCACACGAAAATCACTCACTACGAAAGCAAAAGACTTGGCAGACGATGCTACATCCCCCCAATGAAAAGCAGGGGTGTCACTAGCACGTTAAGAGACCATACAATAAGTGTCAGGGGCCTGAGACTGTTCAACTGCCTCCCAGCATACATAAGGGGGGATTACCAACAGACCCATGGCAGTCTTCAAGCTGGCACTGGACAAGCACCTAAAGTCGGTTCCTGACCAGCCGGGCTGTGGCTCGTACGTTGGTTTGCGTGCAGCCAGCAGCAACAGCCTGGTTGATCAGGCCTGATCCACCAGGAGGCCTGGTCACAGACCGGGCCGCGGGGGCGTTGACCCCCGGAACTCTCTCTAGGTAAACTCCAGGTAAAGGGATACAGGAAACCAGTTAGTCGGACTTGAGTCCTGGAGGTGAGAAGTACATTGTCTGCACTTTAGAGGAGGGGTTTGGGATATTGGCTGTTTGGAGTGACATCTAAACTGTCTTATCAGGGCACTTTGTCACGTTTTCCTGCACTGTAATTTTATGACCTTTTACGTTCATGGATGTGACGGAGGTTAGGATGACCTTCCTTGGATTGAACAGTAATGGTATGTTCTTTGATGTGCCAGTGAGGGCTCTTAATCCAAGGAATTGGACCTGCTCTCCCCTTCTTTGGATCGAACCTGTCTCTCAGGCACTATATGACCCCTATGGGTTTAGTGCTACCCCATAAATATATTACACTCACGTACAGGTCATACATTGCCCTGGGGAGTGAGTGGGAAATGGAGCACAGATCCAATTCCTCGGATCAAGAGCCCTCCGCCAGCCTGGAAGAGCCTCCTCTTGAAGGAATCCTAATAATAGAACTCTCGTTAGTAACTCATTATTTAATGGGGATTATCTTAGCTTATTTTTGTTTTTTAGATTATTTAAATTAAATGCACCATGCTGTATGGTTACTCTGATTCATTTGACATTTTTTACAAGGTTAAAACAGAAAATGGAACATAAACAAATACTTATAGCTGTCACTTGCCCTAATCTGCCTTCGAATGCATATACTAGATAAATGTGGAAGATGAATGTCTTATCGCACGTATATGCATTTTAAATTAATTATGATGTATCTTTGAAATAGATATGTAAAGATAGAATACTTAGAGCAGAGTATATTACCGTTGAAGGCCAGTTATGAGGAGTATTAGTAAAATTTAAATGTCTGGCTAAGAAATCGAACATCGTCATCCAAGGTTGATGGCGGCGGAAATGAGTGGAAGTGTAGGGTATTCCTACTTCAAACTGCTGGGGATGGCAAAAATCCGCGACGTTGTCTCTGTTCTGATATACCATCAAGAAGGGGGAAGGACTGGAGGTGTTGGTATGTGAGAACCAGGGAGTGTTGTCCCCTCCCCCAGGAAGGAAGTAACATTTGGGAAGATGCCTGGCAGCCCCAGGATTTATTGACGACTCCAGCCTCCCCCAGAGGTGATAATGCTGACCAACTGACATGACCACAAGCTCACAGACTCCTATATGGGTGGGGGTGATGCTAGAAAATTTCTTTCATGTTTCTGTTTCCATGATCTGAGATGATTCTCCTCTGGTTACTTGATCATTCTGAGCCAACACTGACATGACCACATCACACAAATTCCTATATGGGTGAGATGATACTTAAAATATCGCTTTCATGCCGTGTAATTTTACCCGTTTCCGAAAAATAAGCATATTTTGCATGATCTGAGGTGAAAGATTCTTTTCTGGATACTTTTCCTTCAGTCTGGGATGTCCTTGATACAGATATAAATAGCTTTTTTTTATTTTATGCAGTATACGAATAGTTTACATGTATTAAATTATTAGGCACAAAAGAAAGCCACTAATTGACTTCCTTTTGCTTGTATCAAATCTGATTGTCTTCCTTTCCACAGGTACTGTGGCCCTCACAGGTTTAGTGCACTTTCCATGAATGTAGTGAATTTCCCAAAATTAATGTATAACACCGGTATGATTCATATGGGTTAAAACTTCCCTTTGAATAAAATAATATATAGCACTTTGTAATAATAATAATTAATAATAAATAAAATATCAGTCATCATCATCATCATCATCATCATCATCATCATCAAAAAATAAGGCTATTACTCTGGGTACTCAGGAGGCAACCTGCAACAGACTAACTCCCAGATACCACAAGTCCAGTGTCTTGCCTTGCCCAGTACTGAACTATTGTCTTTCATTTATGAGCTAAACAGCTATTATGTCACTGTCAGTAATATCTTTTAAGTTATTTAAAGTTAAAACTAATAAAAATGCACTTAACTATTGAAGCCTCAGAAATATAAGAAAAATATTATCTATATCCTGTATCTAATTGTAGTGTGCAACAGAAGACTGTGTGTGTAGTCACAGTTATTGGAAGTTATCCTTCAAAGAGGGTTTGGAAGGGGAAGGGGAGGAGATGATTTGCCTTCCTTCAAATTCAAATTCAAATTTTAAATTCTCTATAAGTATTACAATGCTGAGTTTACAGAATTTGGTTTTTGTGTGGTTTACATGTATTTAAAATAATAATTACAGAGTGTACCACTAGAACGCCTAGCATGGCTAGGCATTTCGGGCAGACTTATATTAAATCTTGGGTTTTTAAATTATGAGATAAGTTGGTATTGTGGCTAAGGACTAATACTAGTTGTGAGTTTAGCAATGTGAATGCTTTTGTTTTGGCACTATACGTAGTTTCATATTGGAGTATCACAGGCCAACTTATGACTAGTTAAGATTCTTTATTTTGAGATTGAGATTGATATTTATGTTTATGGTCAAAGGGGGTGAGTGAGTGTAAGTGTGAACCACCAGGTGGTATTCGTATTATTAGTTGACAGGGTGTATCAGGGAGATAAGATGTTTCTGATGGTAGTTTTTGAAGGTGATGAATGTGTCTGCAGTTTTGGAATTTTCAGGTAGGGTGTTCCAGTTTTTTAGGGCCTTTGACATACATTGAATTTTTGAAAGGGTTTAGTCGGAACAGGGGAATGTCATAGAGATGTTTGTGTCTGGTGTTGTCCCTTTGGGGTTCTGTCACAACTATCAAGAAAGCATTTTGGGTCAAGTTAGTATTGGAATTTAAGGTCCTGTAGATGTAGATTGCACAGTAGTAAGTGTGGATGTACTGAACAGGGAGTAAGTTTAGATCATGAAGAGTGGGGGGTGTGTTTGCCAGGATGGGATTTAAATGATTATTCTTACTGCGGCTTTTTGTTGGGTTATTATTGGCTTTAGGTGTGTTACGCAGTTGAACCCCAAGCACAGATAGCATAGGTGAGGTATGGATATTATAAGTGAAGGTATAGTGTGAGAAGGGCAGTTTACGGCACTAATATCGTCTCTTGGGGAGGATCCCAACCCTTTTGGATACTGTTTTGGTTATGTGTTTGGATATGGGTGCTGAAGTTCAGGTTGTTGTCGAGGTATAGGCCTAGGAATTTTTCTCTCATTATGCCTGGGAATTAAGTGTTGTCGATCTTAATGTTAATTTGCGCATCTCCTGCTCTGCTACCAAACATAATGTTGTAGGTTTTGTCAACGTTTAAACGTAAGTTTATTGGCTGTCATCCAAGTCGATATTTTTTATCAGCTCCTCATTAACAATGGTGTTGAGGGTTGCAAGATTAGGGTGAGAGATGACATAAGTCGTGTCGTCAGCAAAGAGAATGGGGTTCAGGTGTCGAGATACGTTTGGAAGATTTATTGATGTATATGAGGAAGAGCAGGGGACCAAGGACATTCCCCGCGGAACTCCCCGTATCAAGTGGCTGTGTTGTTGATACTGTGTCTTTAATGGTGACATACTGATACCTATTAGTAAGGTAAGATTGAAATATGCAAGCGCATGGCCTCTTATACCATAATGGTCAAGTTTGTGGAGTAGGATGCTGTGGTCTACTGTGTCAAAAGCTTTTCTTAGGTCATAAAAATTCCTAGTGGATATTCCTTATTTTCCAATGCTGTGTAAAGCAGATCTAGCATTTTTATAATTGCATCGTTAGTGCTTTTATTTTTCCTGAATCCAAATTGGCAGGGTTGAGTATGTTTTTGTGACGTTATAAATGAATATAGTCTCCTGTGCACGAGTTTCTCAAAGATTTTGGATGCATTGGTAAGTTCAATATTGGGCCCATAGTTTTTAAAATCTGTAGGTCACCACCTTTATGTATTTGGGGTACCCTTGCCGTCTTGAGTAGTTTCGGGGAAAGGGGCTAGCTTTTAGTGACTTTTTAAAAAGCAATGAGATTTGTATGCAAGAGGACATGGGCCACTCTCTTGTACAATAATGGTGGGACATGAGACAGATTCCCTGAGTTATTTTTAAGTGACTTTATAATCTCGGTGACACTTCCGTGGGCTCAGTTGGAGCAAGATAGAAGGAATTTGGGAAATTCCCATCTAGGTAGTCCCTGGCATGGGCATTGGTACGTGGGATTTTATTGGCGAGATTAGAACCTATGGTTGAGAAGAAGTCGTTTATCTTGTTAGCTGTGTCGGTGGGTTGCAGTGGTGTTTCATTAGGTTTAGTTAGGACAATATTCTTGTTTTTTTTCAGTTTGTGGGTCCCTAGAATCTGAGAGAGTGTTTTCCAGGTCTTTTTTATATCTCCTCTTGTGTCAGTGAATCTACTGGAGTAGTATAGTTGTTTGGCTTTCTTTATTACTTTGGTGAGGACTGATTCATAGTGTTTAAGAATATCTTTGTGTATTAAGCCCTGTCTATATTGCTTTTCATATTGGTGTTTCTTATCAATGGATTTCTGGTGAAGGATTCTTGATCCAAAAAATTTAAGTTATCATCCCTTATGAATCTAATAAACTTTTTCACCAAGGTATTTGGGGAAGTAGATCATGGTAATGAATATGATATTGTGTATATGGACTTCAGTAATGCTTTTGATAGAGTTCCACATCAGAAGCTATTGAGGAAAATTAAGGCACACAAAATAGAAGAAATTTTTTCCTGGCTAGAGGTTGTGGTTGACAGATAGGCAGCAGAGAGTTTGCATCAGTGGGGAGAAATCAGAGTGGGGGCATGTCGTGAGTGGTGTTCCACAAGGGTCAGTGTTAGGCCTTTGTTCACAATTTATATAAATGACAATGATGAGAGAATAAATAGCTACCTAAGCAAGTTTGCTGATGACACCAAAATAGGTCACCTAATTCATTCTGATGAGGACAGAGCACGTCAGGAAGATTTGAATAAACTGATGCAGTGGTCGGAGAAGTGGCAGATGCAGTTAATATAGACAAATAAAAAGTTCTAAACATTGGACAAGAAAATAGCCATACCACATATAAACTAAATAATGTAGATGTTAATATTACTGATTGCAAAAAGGATTTGGGAGTTCTAGTTAGCAGTAATCTAAAACCAAGAGAACAGTGCATCAGTGTTTGCAATAAAGTGAACAGAATTCTTGGCTTCATATCAAGGAGCATAAATAATAGGAGCTCTAAGGTTGTTCTTCAACTCTATACATGTATATCTTTCGTTAGGCCTCATTTAGATTATGCTGCACAGTCCTGGTCACCATATTACAGAATGGATATAAATGGACTGGAAAACTTATGAAGGAGGATGACAAGGTTGATTCCATGTATCAGAAACCTTCCCTATGAGGATAGACTGAGGGCCCTGAATCTGCACTGTCTAGAAAGGTGTAGAATTAGGGGATGATATGATTGAGGCATATAAATAGAAAACAGGAATAGATAAAGGGAATGTAAATAGCATGCTAAAAATATCTAGCCAAGACAGGACTAGAAGCAATGGTTTTAAGTTGGAAAAATTCAGATTCAGGAAGGATATAGGAAAGCACTGGTTTGGTAATAGGGTTGTGAACGAGTGGAACAAACTCCCGCGTACTGTCATAGAAGCTAAGATGTTGCGTAGTTTTAAAAATAGGTTGGATAAATACACAAGTGGGTGTGGGTGAGTGTGAGTTGGACCTGACTAGCTTGTGCTAATAGGTCTGATGCCATGCTCCTTCCTTAAGTGGATGTAACCTGACCTGACTAGGTGGGTCATTGGTTTAAGCCGGGGATGATTTGGACCTGCCTCGTATGGGCCAGTAGGCCTGCTGCAGTGTTCCTTCTTTCTTATGTTCTTATGTTAACAATAAATATTGTAATGGCAAGAGGGTCACATTTGTAATTTAATAAATTCTGCCAAACTATAGGCTTTATTTGCATTTCTCCAGTAATATACTGTACATCTATTTTTCATGTATGTATTCACTAAATTTTTGAAGATTTGAAAGATGAAATGAGCAAAATATTGTTAGTGTTTTCTGCCACATATATTCCATTGGAATAAATTTTGTTTATATTTCAGCCAAGGGATGTAGACATCTGCCGCATTGCTCGCAGTGTTGCAATAAAAATTACTAAAGGAGGCGCATCCCACTTTTCTGCTCCCCAGCTTGTGTTACTTACACAAGTATATGTACCATCATTGCGCAGACACTACCACCACTATGTTTTTGCTTTGAGCATTGCCAAATGCCATTGGGAACAGGTGAGTTTTATGTAAAGTAGTCTTGGCATTGCTATTGAAACCATTACAATCTCTGAAACCTTAAATAGTTCATAGCAGATATAGTTTCCTCCTATGATATAGCATTTGCAAATACAGTTTTAATGTTAAGACTAACCATAATACATACAGTACAGGATAATTTTCTGTTTACAAATTTCTTTTACAAGTGCTCAAGTGTAAATTTCTTCATCAATATGTTTGAAAGGTTGAAAAATAAAAACATTTGCTATTTTATTACTAATAGCTTCTGTTGCAGATATACTGGGTTGAAAAGCCTTAAGTGACATGCTTTACCCTGCTTCTGTTGACAGATAATTTGTTGAGACTATAATATATGAAGAATTCATTCTGGAAATTCTGTGGTGATGTCATTGACCTCAGTACTACCATGAGTAACATTGTTTAGCATGATAGAAATACCTTTCCATGTTTGATATAAAAAAATTGGGGAGATATAGTGTGAGTACTGTAATTATTTATGATATGTATTAGGGAAGGCTTTGTTATTGCTAAGTACTTTTTCTAGGTGGAAAACAGAAATGGTCGACGAAAACTCTCACTAGCAGAAATGAGAAGTGTTCCTCGAATGGATTTAGAAAGACAAGATATACTCTTAGTTACAGAACATGTAAATAAGCAAATTACTGGTAAGTGCAGCACTTTCTTTTAAACTAGGCCAATTTAGACACTTGAAACTACTACTGCCCTAGTTAGAAAATGGAATGCCTAATTAATGTCACTATTATTTTCTAGTCTTAGCTTTCAGTAAGTATAGTATTAGGCAAATGAATTTTCTGTAGTACATCACTAATATATATATGTATTTATATCTTTCTTCTTTCTTTCAACACACCGGCCGTATCCCACCAAGGCGGGGTGGCCCAAAAGAAAAAATGAAGTTTCTCCTTTCAAATTTAGTAATATATACAGGAGAAGGGGTTACTAGCCCCTTGCTCCCGGCATTTTAGTCGCCTCTTACAACACGCATGGCTTACGGAGGAAGAATTCTGTTCCACTTCCCCATGGAGATAAGAGGAAATAAACAAGAACAAGAACTAGAAAGAAAATAGAAGAAAACCCAGAGGGGTATGTATATATACGCTTGTACATGTATGTGTAGTGTGACCTAAGTGTAAGTAGAAGTAGCAAGACGTACCTGAAATCTTGCATATTCATGAGACAGAAAAAAGAACACCAGCAATCCTACCATCACCTAAAACAATTACAGGCTTTCGTTTTACAATCGCTTGGCAGGACGGTAGTACCTCCCTGGGCGGTTGCTGTCTACCAACCTACTACCTACATGTGCAAAATTTATATTTTTTTTTTTTTTTTATTATCACACCGGCCGATTCCCACCAAGGCAGGGTGGCCCGAAAAAGAAAAACTTTCACCATCATTCACTCCATCACTGTCTTGCCAGAAGGGTGCTTTACCCTACAGTTTTTAAACTGCAACATTAACACCCCTCCTTCAGAGTGCAGGCACTGTACTTCCCATCTCCAGGACTCAAGTCCGGCCTGCCGGTTTCCCTGAATCCCTTCATAAATGTTACTTTGCTCACACTCCAACAGCACGTCAAGTATTAGAAACCATTTGTCTCCATTCACTCCTATCAAAACACGCTCACGCATGCCTGCTGGAAGTCCAAGCCCCTCGCACACAAAACCTCCTTTACCCCTCCCTCCAACCCTTCCTAGGCCGACCCCTACCCCGCCTTCCTTCCACTACAGACTGATACACTCTTGAAGTCATTCTGTTTCGCTCCATTCTCTCTACATGTCCGAACCACCTCAACAACCCTTCCTCAGCCCTCTGGACAACAGTTTTGGTAATCCCACACCTCCTCCTAACTTCCAAACTACGAATTCTCTGCATTATATTCACACCACACATTGCCCTCAGACATGACATCTCCACTGCCTCCAGCCTTCTCCTCGCTGCAACATTCATCACCCACGCTTCACACCCATATAAGAGCGTTGGTAAAACTATACTCTCATACATTCCCCTCTTTGCCTCCAAGGACAAAGTTCTTTGTCTCCACAGACTCCTAAGTGCACCACTCACTCTTTTTCCCTCATCAATTCTATGATTCACCTCATCTTTCATAGACCCATCCGCTGACACGTCCACTCCCAAATATCTGAATACGTTCACCTCCTCCATACTCTCTCCCTCCAATCTGATATTCAATCTTTCATCACCTAATCCTTTTGTTATCCTCATAACCTTACTCTTTCCTGTATTCACCTTTAATTTTCTTCTTTTGCACACCCTACCAAATTCATCCACCAATCTCTGCAACTTCTCTTCAGAATCTCCCAAGAGCACAGTGTCATCAGCAAAGAGCAGCTGTGACAACTCCCACTTTGTGTGTGTATTTATTTATTTTTTTTTTTTTTTTCAAAAAGTCGGCCATCTCCCACCAAGGCAGGGTGACCCAAAAAGAAAGAAAATCCCCAAAAAGAAAATACTTTCATCATCATTCAACACTTTCACCTCACTCACACATAATCACTGTTTTTGCAGAGGTGCTCAGAATACAACAGTTTAGAAGCATATACGTATAAAGATACACAACATATCCCTCCAAACTGCCAATATCCCAAACCCCTCCTTTAAAGTGCAGGCATTGTACTTCCCATTTCCAGAACTCAATTCTGGCTATATAAAAATAACCGGTTTACCTGAAACCCTTCACTAAATATTACCCTGCTCACACTCCAACAGCTCATCAGGTCCCAAAAACCATTCGTCTCCATTCACTCCTATCTAACATGCTCACGCACGCTTGCTGGAAATCCAAGCCCCTCGCCCACAAAACCTCCTTTACCCCCTCCCTCCAACCTTTTCAAGGACGACCCCTACGCTGCCTTCCTTTCCCTACAGATTTATACGCTCTCCATGTCATTCTATTTTGATCCATTCTCTCTAAATGACCAAACCACCTCAACAACCCCTCTTCAGCCCTCTGACTTAAATTTTTATTAACTCCACACCTTCTCCTAATTTCCACACTCTGAATTTTCTGCATAATATTTACACCACACATTGCCCATAGACAGGACATCTCTACTGCCCCCAACCGTCTCCTCGCTGCAGCATTTACAACCCAAGCTTCACACTCATATAACAGTGTTGGTACCACTAGAGTACTTTCATACATTCCCTTCTTTGCCTCCATAGATAACGTTTTTTGTCTTCACATATACCTCAACACACCACTCGCATTTTTCCTTCGTTAATTCTATGGTTAACCTCATCCTTCATAGATCCATCCGCTGGCACATCAACTCCCAAATATCTGAAAGCATTTACTTCTTCCATACTCCTCCTCCCCAATTTGATATCCAATTTTTCTTTATCTAAATCATTTGATACCCTCATCACCTTACTCTTTTCTTTGTTCACTTTCAACTTTCTACCTGTACTGTATATATATACAGTGGACCCCCGGTTATCGGCTGTAATCCATTCCTGAAGGTCGGCCGATAACCGAAATGACTGATAACTGAATTAATACATGTATTTCCCATAAGAATTAATGGAAATAAAATTAATTCGTTCCAAACAAAAATATTCACAAAAAAATCCTTTTTTTTTTTTTACAATTATGTAAGTATTACATACCTTTATTGAAGGCTAATGCTGGCTTCTGGAAAATAGGGAGGAGGAAAAAGGGAGGAGTTAGTGTTTGGAAGGGAAATCCCCCTCCATGAAGACTTTAGGTAGCAATGCCTTCTCTGGGGTTATTTCCCTTCTCTGTCTTTAAATGCCACTAGGACCAGCTTGAGAGTCACTGGACCCCTGTCTCACAAAAATAACTGTCCAGAGTGCTCTGTTTCTGGCATCTCTTTAAGATTTCCCTGAAGTGGGACAGGGTTTTGTCACTAAACATATTGCAGATATGGCTTATTTCAGCTTTGTCAGGGTGGTGTTTCTCTACAAAAGCTTGCACCCTGGTCCACATTGCACACACCTCTTTAATCTCTGAAGAAGGCACCTCCTTCAGTCCCTCTTCCTCCTCCTCTGAAGCAAGTTTCTCAGCTGCAGTCTGTTGCTGTTCAAGTTGAAGCTCTTCAGTGGTAAGATCTTCCCTGTGGTCCTCCACCAACTCTTCCACATACTCACCACTCACCTCCAACCCCAGGGACTTCCCCAAAGACAAAATAGAATCCACAGGGTTGGCAGGGTCATGGTCACGGTGAGTCTCAAACCCTTCAAAATCCCTCTCTTGGACACAATCTGGCCACAGTTTTCTCCAAGCAGAGTTCAAAGTCCTGGAAGTCACTCCCTCCCAAGCCTTACCTATAAGGCTTATGCAATGGAGGATAATGAAGTGATTCTTCCAGAACTCTCTTAGGGTCATCTGAGTGCCGGAGGTCACTTCAAAGCACTTTTGAAACACTTCTTTTGTGTAGAGTTTTTTGAAGTTAGAAATGAAACCCGCTGGTCCATGGGCTGGAGGAGAGGAGTGGTGTTAGGAGGCAAGAGCTTCACTTTTATAAAACTGAAGTCCCTAGACACAAACAATAACTATAAAGCAGAAACGTACAGCGGTAAGCTTGTCCTAATATACAAGTACAGTTAGAAATAGAAATATGTAGCCAGATCTTCACTTTAAGGAGGTATTAGTAGAATATTCAAGGGGTTACTAGTAGAATTACAGTAAATCAACCATTGAAATCACATTATAAAATTCTGTGTAGTCTGCAGTAAATCAAACAAATGGGCTTCCACATGGATTACATGCCATTTTTGTGAAAATTGGTGTCATGCCCCTTGTGCAGATATCCAAGAATTATCTACAAGCAGTATTAAATCAGGGAAGTGTTTTTGGGTATGCCCAAATGAGATCAGTCTGTGGACTAAAATCATTTTGGTATTAAAAGAGGATAACATCAAAGCAGCCTTCATAGAAAACCTGGAAGCATTCTATAACAGATGGGAAAATAATAAGTCTAGGCTCGATGGTATCGCCCTTGGTGCTGGCCATGTAGTCAGAAACTGTAAGGCTGGAGGTGCTGTCCTGGTAGACAGTAAATGTGGGGGCTGGAAGTGCTGTCCTGGTAGACAGTAATGGTGAAGCTGGAGGTGCTGTCCTGGGAGACAGTAACTGTGGGGCTGGAAGTGCTGTCCTGGTAGACAGAAATGGTGAGGCTGGTGGTGCTGTCCAGGTAGGCAGTAAATGTATGCATGAGGGAATGCATATAAATGGCCTCGAGGGAGACAGGAGCTGTAGTGAGGAAACAAGTGTAGTCAAGGACAAGATAAAACCAATATTACAAACTAGTAATGCCACAGGAGATAGCAGACAAGGGGACTCCACTAGCAATAGTGAGGATACATTACCAGAAACAACTGGTGAGAGCTCCATTGTTAGTACTAGTGAGGATAGGAATGAGACAGAAAAACATGCACCAACAGGGAATAGTCACAAAAACCCAAGGCAAACAGAAACCAAGCCTGTGCACATACTATGCACTTGGTATCTGCAGGCATGGGAAATCTGGAAAAACAGATGGGACGTGCAACTTTGACCACCCTAGAAAATGCCATGCCCATATGACAACAGGAAAATGCAAACTCTCTTCCTGTAAGCTTTTTTGCCCTGAAATGTGTCCCTCTTTAGTACAGGAAAGAC